ACAGTCTCCCTACAGGGTCCAGGCTCACCACAAACTCAACAATCATCCTGCTTCAGCCTCCCAAGTGTTAGGATTATAAGTGTGTGCTGCCACGCATGGCTGTTCTTTTTTGCTTTAAGAAATAATTTCCATCTGTTTTTTCCCTTAAAATGTTATCCTATTTCTAGTTGCTTTTATGATCTTCTCATTGATTATTGAATTTTTCAGTTTCACTATAATTCCAGAAATGTGATGTTTTCAGGGCTTTTTTTTTTTTTCTTTTTATTGGTACTGGGGTTCGAACTCACAACCATACACTTGTAAGGCAGGCCCTTTATGCCGCTGAGCTAAATCCCCAGCCCCTGTTTTCAGTTTTTTATTTGGCTTGACATTCAATTTAAGTTTCAGTGACCCTCATCAGTTTTGGGGTCCTCATCTTTCTGGTTCTTTTTCCTCTCCCATTTAGTGGGACAGAAGAGAGATGCTGAGAGGGGAGCATGAGGGATCCTAGTGAGGACGGAGATGTCTCTAGAGGCCAGCCCCCTGGTCTGAAGAGAACAGAAAATGCTCCTTTGCTTTATCTTCCGAGATGCTTTACATTTGCACTTCTCTGTGCCTTTCAGTAATTTTACCTCAGTTTTCTTTTCAGGATATTTAAAATGCCTTTTAGTCTGTCTGTTGCATTTTCATCTTTTTATTGAAGTATATTAATATTCAGTAAAACTCACAAATCTGAGGTGTCCAGTTGGATGAGTTTGGGTGGTTGAGTATGTTCTTGTTGTAATTACTCTTCCCCAAATATATTTCTATTCATATTTCAAATTCTCTTATATTGCTCCTAAAAGTTCTGTTGTGATCTCTTGCTCTTTTTCTTTTTTGGAACCAGGGATCGAACTCACAACCTTATACTTGCCCTTGAGCTAAATCCCCGGCCCTTTCCCGTCTCTTTTAGCTGCTGGACCTTGAGTCCAGGGAACATGCTTACTAGGTGAGCATTCTACCCTTGGGCTGCTATTACAGCCTCCTTGCTTTTATTTTCTATTGTGGCAAAATACAAGACAGAATTTATCATTTTTGAGCACCTTTACATTTTTGCACATCTAAATCACTATCTTCAGAATTGTCCCATTACCCTGAACTGAAATTCTGCACTCATTACACACTGACTCCCCACTGTGTCCCACGGAACCAGCTTCTTCTTCCCTTCTTTTCCTCGTAGCCTCTCTCCCTCGCTTCTTTTCACTGGAGACTGAACTGTGGGCTTTCACACTGAGCTACATGCCCAGCACTTCTTTATTTTTTGAGACAGAGTCTCACTAAATCACTAAGTTGCATAGGCTGGGCTAAACTTTGTGATCCTCCTGCCTCAGCCTAGAGTGCTATGGTTATAGGCATGCACCACCATATGAGGCTCTATTTTATATCTCTATGAGTATTTTAGGTATCTCTTATAAATGGGATCAGCCAGTGATCTTTATTATCTATCTTACTCAGCAAAGCATTTTCAGGATGCATCTATATTGTAACCTTTGTCACAGTTTCATTCCCTTTTAAGGCTGAGTAATATTTCATTGTGTATACTACTTTTTTGTTTATTCTTTGTATGAGTTGTTGCTACAGTATATTTTTGTGACTAATGCTGCTAAGATCATTGAATCTATTCAAGTCCTACTTTCAGTTTCTCTTTTTGTGGAGGGTGTTAGGGTCGCATTATGAAGTTCAGACTGGCCTTGAACTCATTATGTAGCTTCAGGCTGGCCTCAAACTCATGGCAGTTTTCCCGCCTCTCAGCTTCCCTAGTGCTAGGCAGTACTTTCAATTCTCTTGGATGTTGCTAAAAGTAGAATTGCTGGATTAACTTGTGATTTGTGTTTAATTGTTCGAGGAACTGCCAAACTACTTTCCATAGTGGTGGCCCTCCCCCTCCCTTTCTTGATTATACCATTTTATGTAACCACCAGCAATACATATGGATTCAATTTTGCATTTTATTTTAAAATACATATTTTTAAAATTAATCAATGCATAGTAATTGCATATATTTCCATTAAAAAGTACAGTGTGATTTCAGTTCATGTATTCAGTGTATAATGATCATATTTTCTGTTTGATTGAGACCCTTCTTACAATTATCAAATGGTATCTTACTTTGATTTGCATTTTTCTGATTAGTGATATTGATCATGTTTTTATTTGCTTACTGACCATTTGTATTGTATAGGATTTGTTCAAGTCTTTTGCTTATTTTAGTGTCTTAGTGTTGAGTTGTGGTATACATTTCATATATATAATATGAATTTCAAATATGTAATTTGTAAACATTTTCTCCCATTCCTTGGATTGCCTTTTTTATTATTTTGATAGTGTCATTGGATACATAATTTAATGAAGTCTATATTTGAAGGCTGTGTTTTTATTTGCTCTTTTAGACATACTTTATATTTTGTTTCTGACATTTTCAACATATTTGGGTTTTGTTGGCCTGATACTTTAGTGAACGTGGAGGTCCTGTCAGTAGGGATTGGCACTTGTCTCCAAGGAAATGGCTGCTTGCTTTCATCATTGTATGCCTGCGTTCACTTCTTTGTAAATTTTTGATGAGTCCTTCTTTGCTTGTAATTTCAGTGATGTATTTAAAAATTAAGGCAAAATATTTTGTCACTTTTATTTGGTTTTAGCACATGTTCAAGGTATCTATAATCAGCTGTACCCAGATATGCAGTATTCCAAATGAACGGAAAAGCACCTAGAATAATATAAATCAGCCGTGTGCCTGCCTCCTAGATTAGCAAATATTAATAAAGCCAGTTGTTCGGTTTCCTGAAACACGTAAGTGTAAGGTACATTTGAAGCTCTTTTTAGGTTTATTTACATGCTGTTCTCCAGCCTCTCTTGCTCTGCTGCAAAAGTAACTAACCATTGTTTTAAAATTGCTTAGCTTTTCCGTTCATGTTTTTATTCTTTCTCCACAGTGGTAAATAAGATACTATTTAAAATGTTTATATGAATAGTACATTGTAGGTCTTGTCTTTTGCCTGCTTCATTCAGGATAATTTTCAGATTTTGTCCATGTTGGTAGTCAGTCATTTAAATGCCTTATAAACCACTGTGTGATTATACTGTGATGCATGGTGGAAATTCAAATTGTTATTTGGTTTTTTTCTTTTTTGATGGCTATTATAGTTCTTTGGGAACAACTTTGTGGCCTTTCTATGTGGAAGAAGTTCTGTAGGGAATGTATGCCTAGAAATGTATACCTTGTTCAGAACCAACAACTTCTTCTAGATAATCTTAAAATCTCAAGTGAGTATTCTCTTTTGGGGTACCATCAGGGGTTTATAATTATCTGTGCTAATTCCAACTTCCCAAACACTTGGTTTGGACTTGTTTTGTTTTGTTTGAGACAGGGTCTCTCTATGTAGCCCAGGCTGGCCTCAAACTCCTGCCTCAGCCTCTCACATGCTGGGATTACAGATATGCACCTCCCTGCTCAGCTAAATACTTGTTTTTGTCCTTAATTACTGTATAACTATCAGTCCAAAACTATGGCTCATGTCTGGTTTATATTTCCATGTTTGCCGATGAGGTTGAGTATGTTTCTTAGCCATTTTACTTTCTCTTCTGAGTTGTGTAGTCTGTTGGTAATTGGCCATTTGTCAGTTATATTTTGTGTGTGTTTGGATTGAATTTGTCAATATACTACAAGAAACTCAAATAATAATATTTTTTAAAAAGAAAGTTTATTCTCTCACATTTGGTGTTGTATTATCCAGGGATGGTCATCTGGGGCTCACGAGTCTTTGTGTTTTCCTATTCTTCAGCGGGTATTTTCCATCTTTTGGATCTTTTTATGATCTGAGATGGTTAGTACAGCCATGGTCATTGTGCCTGTTTCTAGAGAACAGGAAAGGCAGTGTGTCATGTTCTAGCTGAATCAAGCTTTTGAATCCCTCCAAAAATCTTACAAATACTTTATAGCACAGGACTTAATCCCACAGCTGCTTCTAGTTAGAAAAGGAACTAGGAGCTGAGTTTGGTAGTACACATCTGTAATCCCAGCACTTGGAACCACTTGGAGGCAGGAGGATTGCTAGTGAGACCCAGCCTCAGAAAACAAACAAGCAAACAAAGGAGGTGGGAGGGAGGGGAGGAAGAATGAGATTTGGAACATCATTTAGCTGAGTGTTTTGCTGGATAAATAGAATTAACATTCTGGTAGGGAGAAGTGAATATTGAGGATGTAACTCAGTTTCTGCTATTCAGTTGTACTTCATTGACTTGTGATTTTTTTTTCATCCTAAGCTCTTGTTTTCTAATCGCTTCTCAGTTTTCTTCTAATGTTGTTTTAAAGTTTTGCTTTTTGTTTTTAAACTGTAAATTCAACTAGAATATGTTCTGTAGAAATATTCAGTGTTCCAGCATCATAATCTTTTCCTCCTTTGTCATTAGTCATATGTCAGTTTCTTTTTTTTTTTTTTTTAGTTTTATTTAAAGAAAGACTAAACAAAACAGAAAACGGGTAGAAATAATACATCCTTTCAAAAAAAAAAAGTAAGAAATCACTAGTTAATGATTACATATTGTCCTCTTAACAAATAGTTGTTCTAGATACAAAAGTGAAATATACAAAGTGGGGATTCAAACAGCGAACAGTTCTGTTCAACTGTCCAACAAAAACTTAGTAATATGGTTATTAATCCTATATACTTTTTTTTAATAATAATAATTTATTTTTTTTATTTAAAAGGAAAAAGAGAAAAAAAGCAGAACAAAACAAAGCAGTGTAAGGGTACAAGTAATACAGAACTACAAAAAAAAAAAAACAGTAAACTATCACCAGTTAATATCAATCCTATATACTTAAACATACACGCAGTTATCCATATCTCCATTTAAGTCACATGTCAGTTTCTGAGAATTCTTTTACTTCATTTTTTTTTCTGCTTTAATGTTTTAAATATAATAATTATATCGTCATAAGTACATTCGATTGAGTGAGACCATCCTTTTTCTTTTTTTAGGTTATTTCTGGTTTTTTTGGGCCTTTTTCATGTGTTAGGACAACTTTCTCATAAACCTTGAGGTTTTAAGGTAATGTGTTACTGTTTAAAGATTAATTTTGTGAGACCTGTTTGCTCAAATTAAATGCAGTTCTTCTGTCCGTTATGAGATGAATTTCTAACAGCATTTTGCTATGGGACCTTTCTGTGCCTGGAGTGTCCTAGCTAGTGTGGCACATAGGTGGGGTCAGAGCCAGGCCATCCTGTTTGTCCTGTTGTGTCTGTTGTTTGAGGCTTCGAGATTGTGTAAAGGGGTTTTTGAGACGGAATAGGACTGCTTATAAACAGGGAAGGGAGCCACAGCTAAGTACTAAGATGAGCATAGGTGGGAAGGGAGGGAAGAGACAGAGGAGCGATGGAGGGGCATGTAGATTTACTAGGAAGTTTCGGGAAAGGGGATCTTATATAAGCAGCCAGCAGAGTAGGAGAATGTTAGAATGAAGAGAAGTTTTCAAGAAGAAGATGCAATGTACAATAGATATTGTGAAAATGAAAGGGAAAGAAAGTGCTCAAACAACTGGGATGGGGAAAGGAGAAAAGGAAGAAAGGAAAAGATTATATGTATATGGGTATGCATATGTGTGTATATGTATATATATTTATATATGAGATAATAGAACAGTTGTGCTTTCATTGTTTGATCATTTTTTTCATGCCTAAATCTTGCAATCTGAACAACTACTTCTAAGATAGTAATATATTAACTACTGTTAATTTCTTTTTTTAAAAAATTCTGTATCATTTCTATCCTTTTTTTGTTTTTAAAATAAAAAAACAAAAATTCAGATTAGACTGCTACATATCTGAGAGGTACTAGTCAAACCAACTATGTACTCCCTCTTTTACATTATTGATTTTAATGTGACATAGAATTGGAAATCACCAAAAAAAAAAGAATTGAAAGTCAGATTCTAGTTATGATATTTAATAACTTGGTGATTTTGGGTACACAGCAGTTTCTAAATCTGTTTCTCCATAAGTAAAATAAGGGATAATTGTGCAGGTATGTTGTTGGGATCAAATGAGACAATGTATGTAACAGTTGATCTCATAACTGAGATGGCTACTAAGTGGCAGCCTTCAGTGCCTGTCAAGTACAGTAGTGGATGTTCTTAGCGTAGGAGATGGTTCAGATCCTTGGACAATTGGACAGCAGAGTACCAGGTTTCATTACAGTGTTCAGGAAGACACAATTTAAAACTTGTGAATTGTTCATTTCTCTCATTTCCCACTTCATATGTTTAGATTACAGTTCACTTTGGGTAAACGAAGGTATAGGAAGGTGAAACCTACAATAAAATTAAGCAAGGACTTCTCTGTGATGTTACAAGGATTGGCGAAATTACCTTCCTTTTCCCTTCTGTTTCTTCTTTCCTTTTTTTGTGTATCTACTATATATGTGTGTATCTAAAATGTCTTGTGATTCTGAGTTTGAATAAATGTTAGTTATCACTAAGCACCTCTTCGTTTTCCATGTTGTAGGCCCTAGGAATTTAGGGATAAATAAAATAAGGTGAGATCTTGCTATGTTACCCAGGCTGGCCTTCAACTCTGGAGCCTAAAAGCAATCCTCCTAAGTACAGCTGTACACCACCACCTCTGATTTTCAAGAAGGAATTTACATTTTTGGTTTTAGAAACTAAAGTGAATATCATCCTGACACTTAACATATTGACTTAATGATTTTATTGTTTGATAATATTCAAGTATGTGAGCTGGGCCTAGTGTCCCCATCTTTAATCCCAGCACGTGGGAAGCTGAGGCAGGAAGATAGCTGTGATTCAAGGCCAGCCTGAGTTAGGTAGTGAGACCTTGTCTTAAAAATAGAATGTTTAACTCAAAGTAATATTAACTTTTAGTTTGTATTTCATTATGTCTATATTCTATAAAGGGAATATCGTTCTTTGCTCCATTAATGTTACAGTAACACTTGTACTTGTTTTTTGTTGTTGTTGTTTGTTTTGTTTTTTGTCTTTTTTCCCCCCATACCGGGGATCAAACTCATGAACTTACACTTGCCAGGCAGGTGCTTATGCCATTGAACAAAATCCCCAGCCCTGTGTTTTGTCTTTTTAGACAAAGTTTTGTTGTGCAGTTTAGGCTGTCCTTGAACTCACTGTATCCCAGGTTGATATTGAACTTGGAAAGATCCTCCAGTCTCAGTTGAATGCTAGGATTACGGGCATGCACCCCCATATTGACTGTACTTTTTGATAAATTGTGACTTTGGATCATTAACTTTGGGAACATTTTGTTTTATTTTAGTTGTAGGGTAACTAGCATATTAAACGTGTATAATTGTGCATATGTAAGTGCATTTTAAGGATAACAAGAAGAATGATCAGAAATTACCTAGATGATCTAATTTGTATATGTAGCAGTATTTGCTAATAGTGTTTGCTAATATGCTGATATTAGCAAACGTTAGTTCATTTATATGATTAGTTCATTTATATGATATTAGTTCATGATATCCAGCATTAGTTCATGATATGGTTACCAGGCATAAAAAGTGAGGAGGTATCTTGTAAAAACATAAACTCGTCTTGTGAAACTAGAGAAAATGATGGGAATCATTCATAAATGGAAGGACAACAATATTTTCTTTCTTTCTTTCTTTCTTTCTTTCTTTCTTTCTTTCTTTCTTTTTTTGTCTTTTTGAGACAGGGTCTCACTATGCAGTTCAGGCTGGCCTTGAGCTCACTCTGTAGCCCAGGCTGGTCTCAAACTCACAACGATCTTCCTGCCTCAGCCTCCCAAGTGCTGGGATTACAGGCATGAGCCACCACACCCGGCAACAATATTTTCTTCAGACTGGTTTTTCTTTTTTTCTTTTTTTTTTTTTGGTATGGGGGATCGAACTCATCACCTCCCACTTGCCAGTCAGGCACTTACACCACTGAGCTAAATCCCTGGCCTTTGCTTCAGGATATAGTTAATGGTTTATCGTAATTTATTATTAAAATAAAAAATGTATTGTTTTGAAAGAATTTTAACGACACACACACAAAAGAGAATTTAACACAAGAGGGTGCTATGCCATTGGGAAGAGTCTGAACAGCCTTTGGCTAATTATAGTAATTCACATAAGCCAGGGTATCACAGTAGTTAATTTTCCTTCAGTGTACATCACTGCTTTACTGTATTGACTGAAATCAGAGTGACTAATGTTGCATAATTGATGTAATTTATGATAAATATTGATTTAAATGCACATGGTTACCATGTTTTTCTTCATTAAGATTCCTTGATACAGTTGCATTATCATTTCCTGTCTTTACATTGGTTAGAATAAAAAGGATTTATTCTTCTATCATCTACCTAAACTGTTTCTAAAACTACTAATACAGATAGATGGTAGAATAAATATTATTTTCAAATTGAAAGGCTGTATAACCCAGTCTCTTTTTCCCATTCTCTTTAGAGTAGTTTGTTTTTTCTTTCTTTCTTTCTTTCTTTCTTTCTTTCTTTCTTTTCTTGCTTGCTTGCTTGCTTGCTTTTTTTGGTATTGAGAATCGAACTTGTGACCTTGTGCTTGCCAGGCAGGTGCTTATACTGCTTAGCTAAATTCCTGGCCTTAAAATGGTTCTTAATAAAAATAAATAAATGACCAGGCCATGTAGTAGGATTATATATTTGGGTATATAATATCTGATTCTAAAAAGTATTATCTTCAAAGAGTAGTGTACCAAAATGGAATTCTAAAAACTGAGCAGACTGCACAGGTTGGTTTTGGTAAAATAGAAAAGTCTTATCTTTTGGTTGATTAGTGTATTCTTCAAAGAGGAGTTTTATAAATTCTAAACTCAACGGTTCACTGTTTTTTCTGACTTAATAGTAATTATAGAACTATTTGATCCTTTACCTTAAAGGGTTGTTTTTAGAAAAAAAATTTTTTTTGTAAATTGGATTCAATTTTACTAATACTGAGGAATTTAGATACTATCTGAACTAGATCAGATCAGACACAGGCCCATTTTGGAATAAAAGTAACAATAAAGCATTCTCTTAAAAAAAATACAATGGGAAAAACGTTATATCATGTACAAGCACAGCTCCTCTGATGAATATGATCATCATGTATATCTAAAATGTACCAATAAAATCTGATTTTAAAAATAAAAAATTGTTGCATAAGCATGTACTTTTATAAAAATGTTGGTAACTTTAATGTATTCGGACTCAAACTTCACCAGGAACTGTATTTTCTAAAACTTTAAATGTTTATTATGACTCTTTATACTATCATAGGTACTTAGAAAATTAATCAGAAATTTGCTCCATTATTACTCCTAGTTAAATGCAGGGCCTTGAAGATGCTAGCAGGGCTTTACTGAGGAGTTACCTCCCTGGCCTTTTTTAAACATTTGTTTTGAGATAAGATCTTACTAAATTACACATATTGGCCTTGAATTTGGAATCCTCCTGTGTCAGCCTCCCAAGTACGTGGGATTACAAGAGTGGGTGTTTATGCTTGGCATGTTTTTTTGTCTTATGGGCAGAAGGATTTTTGTTGTTCAGGGTTTCTCATTAAACTATTACTATTTTTGTTTTTAACTCTCAAGGCACCACCTTCCATGGTCAATAATGAACAGCGACAGCATGCAGAACATATATTCTTATCATTTAGAAAATCAAAATCACCCTTCGCAGTTTGCAAGCATATTTTGGGTAAGTATCCACTTTAAAGATATTTTGACATAGATCTGGCTTTACTATCTTAAAAACGTTAGCTATTTTAAATTCCTTTTAAAACAAGCAGATGTGCAGTTAGGAATTTTCCATAAATAATAATTCTATTGTAGTGGCTTTAAAGATGTTCTGTGAAACCAGGAAGAAAATTACGTTTTTACTTTACAGTTTTCCCCTTACCTGTTGTTTAATAATTTGTTTTGTTACTGATCATAATGTGAACACTGTTAATGTATGTGTGTAGGGGGGGAATCCAGTATTTTTTTCATTGTTTTCAATTGTCATGCCATTGGTTACTGGAAATGTACAATATTTTTTAGCTATGTTAATTTGAAAATTAGGTAGTTTTTAGAGAATTCTATATTTTCTTTTTTTTTTTTTTTTCTTTTTGTGGTTTTTATCGGTACCAGGGATCGAACTCACGATTGCCTGCTTGCAAGGCAGGTGCTTATGCCGCTGAGCTAAACCCCCAGCCCCTATATTTTCTTTTTTAAAATTGTTTTTCCATAGTGTGGCTTTTGTTTTTTCCATTTATTTTGTACTCAGCTTGCTTAATAAAGTCACTTCTGGGTAGGTTATCCTTATATCATAAAATAAAGCACAGACTTACTTTTGTCACATATATTTTCTAAGTTCCTTATTTTGACTTAATGTATAGAAATGATCTCTTCTAAAACAATCACAAGAATTATAACTTTACTCTAAAGATGGCATTTTCTCAGAGTTATATGTGGTGTTGCCACCTGTCTCTTAGTTCAGTAACAGCAAGGGAGATTTCATTGGTGGTTATTATTTATAACCTGATTGCTGTTGGCCGTTTTTCTTAGTTGAAGCCATCTTTACAAAACCCATACTTAAGCCTTATGGCTTCGAAAGGCTGAGTCATCGTCCATGACCACAGAATTCATTAGTTGTGCTTTTTGTAGAGCTTACTATTATTTCCGTGGAGTAACCTGGTTTCCAGATTGAAAGGAACTACAATTACGGCTATACGTTAGAAATGCCTTATGTGTAGGGCTCTAGTGAGAGCTACTAGGTGGCAGTGGGAAGAATGCTGGTGTTGGAACCACGCGATCTGACTGCCAGTGTTGCTTGCTGCACGCTGGACTTGAGGAAGTCCACCTCTCTGGGCCTCTTTTCCATCTGCAGTGTGGGAATAATGATACATCACTTGGCTAAATGAACCTGGCTATCTTTAGTTGTGAGGTACACATGTACTGACATGTGTTAAAGCACTTTGTGAACAATAAGGTTAATGTCATGGTCACATTACTCATGTAAAATTATCGCCAGTTTAAAAAGTTCTGTTTTCTGTTTGCAATGAGCTGGCAGCAGTGATGAAGTTGATTCTGTCCCATTCAGGATAGAGCTCATTTAGGCTTTAACAACTACCTTTTCAATTCTAGATAAGGCCATTTTAATTAATTTACTTAGAAGTGGTCTCTGTGTATACTTGGATGGATTTGTTTTTGTAAGAAAATTGTTATTTTATTCTTGTGTGGAATGTTTAGTTCAGTATTAAAAGAAGCAAAACTGAAACATTCTTATGAAGAGATTAAGGAACTGTTAGCTCATCCTTACTGATTTGAAATTGTTCAGTGTTCATAGATTTAGAAAGCCATGTATTAAACTGTTAGTATTAACTTAAAAGACTTCAAGCCTCGTGTTCATGGCTTCTGCCGTGCACTCATTGGCAAGGACCCATGCTCTCAGTGTTTCCTCTTTCTGTTATAGTGCAGTGTCATGCGAGACTGGTAGGAAACGGCTGATCTAAGTTATAAGTATTTTATTTGAGAATATTTGTTTCCTTTCTAAAGTACGTATATTTATGACTTTTTAAAAAAATTTGAGCTTGTTTTAGATTATTTTTGTTTTCTAGATAAAATTTTCAAAAGGGTAGTATCACTTGTTCTGGCCGTGCTTTTAAGATCAGTTTGGGTTTGAGACATTAACTGTTTACAAGGCGGCATGCGTGTGTGACAAGCATAATCATTAATGTACTGCAAAGCCTGTGTTACATTAATGTTTACGTCTAAACTTCACAAAAAATCTTTTTTAACTCCTTACTCAGTTGCCACCAGCACAGAAGGGCAGATTCCTCTGAGAAGACTTCTCATACAAGTGGCAGTCAATCACAATTCAGAATTTTCACATTCTTATTTAGGGATTGTATGTCATTTTTAGAGAATGTCTGGGAAATATATTCTGATAAAGGGGAGAAGTTCTTTTTGATGCTTCCCTTTTCTGGCCTCTTTAAATTATTCTCACTTGTAACTTCAGTTTTCTATGTTTCTCATTTTTCTTCATTTCCTTCCCTCCTTATCTTTTTGTTTTCATTCTAGTTTTTATTTTTCTTTGCTTTTTTCTTTGTGTGTGTGTGTGTGTTGTGTGTGTCCGTGTGTGTTGCATGCTTGTGTATTTTGTTAGAAGAGTACTTTCAGACAAATTTACCTCAGTAATATTTGGCACTTAGGAATTTTACTTGTTTCTTAGGGTCAGATATTCTTCAAAAACCTGAGAGTTCTGTTCTGCCTAAAGAAATAGCCAAGAACTGTGTGGGATTGGTTTTTCCCTTCTAGAGCTAACTTAATAACATTCTTTTTTGATCTTGTAGGAAAAATGGATTTCAGGTTCGCTTATAAACCAGGAAAAAGTCAGTTAAACTAGCAAACTTTTATTTCTGGAATAAAAATATTTGGAACATTGTTTCTTTAGTAATGCTGTCAAGTTTTTCTTCTTTCGCCTGAGGCTTACTATTGGTTGATGGGCACATGTGTCATTAAGCCAAAAGAGAAGGCTTTTTGGAGCTTATATTTCCTGTTTTGGACAGAAATCTTCAAAGTCAGAGAGAATAGCCGAGTATTGGGGCTTACTTTTCTTGTTTAAAACAAAACAAAACTTTTTCGATCAGATTATAGTGCTTTTTCTCTTATTTACTTCCCTTGAAATTTTTGCTTGTGTCGTTCAGTGTAGTTTCAGATGGCTGATGAGATACAAATGGATTATTTTATTCATAAATTCTTTTTTGTTTGTTTGTTTTTGAGACAAAGTTTCACCCTGTAGTTCGGGCCCAGGCTGACCTTGAACTCATAATCTTCCCACTTCATCCCAAGTGCTGGGATTACAGGCTTGGGCTACCACACCAGCTACCATAATTATTGTTAAAGCAAATTATTGTGGTTGCAAGTGAAAGCTTTCGGTTAAAGTGACTTAAATGCTGTATCATTTTGGCTGTGTCCTAAACCAGCAGTAGATCTTCCTAAGTAGTTAAAATCTAGGTGAATTGTGAGTTCTTTATGATTGCAGTTTTGAGCATCTTTATGGCCAGCAGCTTTTAAGAATAAGGCTCTTATACCTGAGTAGTTTAATTGCATACTGGTAAAGCTTCTAGAATTCCTTCTAGCTTTTCTTACACATTTATATAATGTATGAAAACAATTTATGAAGGCTGATAATAATGTTTATGAAAAAGTATAATATTAGTTTAGGAAAATTCCTGCTTTTAAATTCTGGAATCTTCTCTCTCCCCCCATTCTTCCATGTTAGACAGCTTCTAGTTAGAATAGTAATTTGGCAGTCTTCATTTAACAACATAGGGCAAAGAAAAAAATTTTAAATTTCATTGTCTTTATGTGTGTGTTGGTGGGGGGTTGCAGTTCTGGCGGGGCTTGAACTCATGTAGCTTAGGCTGGCCTCCAACTCACAGTGGTCCTCCTGTCTCAGCCTCCCACGAGAGGGTGTGCACCACCAGGCCCAGCTTCTTTTCTGTTGCAAATTTGTAAATATCATTCTTCTGTAATTGCCACCAAAGGGTTTTTAAAAAGCTTGAAAATAAGCACAGGTAATTAAAAATAAGCGTATTTCAGCGCCCATGAGCTCATTTGGTCTTGTTTCAGTGGTAGATGTCTTTTAAGGTAGATTAGAGTTGCTTATGGAATGTTTGCTGGCATGTGACCTCAGTCCCCTCTCTTACCTCTTGTGGCATCGGTTTCTTCAACTTTACAATGCAGGAATTGCATTAGATGATCTGTAGAGTTTTATTTTTGAAATTCTACGAGTCCCTTTTTTTAAAATCCCGTGATTATGATTTTCAGTTTTCTTGCCCTTAAAATTGCAACAGGAAAGGAGGACAAGCAAACAGCCATCATTGTCTTTTAGAAGAGGTTTACAATGAGAGTGTATTTGAAATACCATATTTCTGCTTATGTGTTCTAAATAGATATACTTTTTATTTTATTTTATTTTACTTTTTGGTACCAGGGATCAAACTCATGACTTTATGCTTGCCAGGCAGGCACTTGTGCTGCTGAGCTAAATCCTCAGCCTTGTAGGCTATACGTTAAGACTGAATAAAATTCTCAAGTTTTTCCCTTGTTAAAACACTGAGTATATCTTTTTTATAGGGATCACATTTTCAGAAGCTGTTGCTTTATTTTCATTGTATTTTAAGGTTTCTAAATTTTTGTGAATTCTAATTGGTACTTTAATTAGAATTCATGTTGAGGTAGCACAAATAAGCAAAACTAAAGAAAACCAGGTCCATATAATTCTTCTTACTAGTTTTGTTATGTTGAAACTTCCTATGAAATAGTGTAATGTGGTAGGAATTTGTGTAGGGTACAGACAGCTTTTTTTCCGTAGTTTTTGGCTAATTGCATCAAGACCACTTGCATGAGTTTTAGATGACCTGAGCTTTAACAGGAGAGAAAACTGTGTGCCTGAATGTGTCTTCATGCTCTTCCAATAAGTTCTTGAAGGTGCCATTATAGGTGTAGTATTAAATGTTTCAGGGCTTCCAGATATCACGCTCAGTGATTAGGGCAATAATCTGGAGTCCAGTCATAGACTTTTCAAGGATTTCACGTGATGGTTGTTTTTTTGGATCTTCAGAACATTTCCTTTTTCTTGACTTCATTTTGACTATTTCTTACTTTGAAAATGCTGCTTGGGAACTGATAGTAGTGATATTGGTTGAATAGAAGAAAAAAATAGAAGATTACTCCAAAATATTTCTTAGATATGTTGATTTTCTATTTTTTCCTCCTGCTTTAGTTTTTAGTTCAGATAGTATAACTTGCTAGTTAAGGCTGCGTCTTTTAAAGTGTAGCTTTGGGATTTACTTAGTTTGATCAGTACTGCAATCGGAAGATTCACAAGAACTTCTCACCTTGTGTAAATATAACTTGTTTTAACATTTTGAGAAAAATAATCTCAACATGAATGTTTTTGTTTCTGAACTTGCTATTGGAGATGAGTCATCCTGCTGAAGACTTAGTTAAAAATAAAAAATTTTTGACAGCATGGCCAATCTCAAATAGTAATGTTCAAAGACTAGTTTAATAAGATATTTTTGAAATACAAAGTTCTCATTTTGCACAGGGTGAGAATCTCTTAGGCCATTTTCTGATTGCATTATATTTTTATTTTTTTTTTAAAGCTGTGTTATTTTTTAGTTCTTCATGCTTTGGAAGTAACAGTTGAAGAGAGGTGAGGAAAGTTTGTGAAAATTGTGATCGGTGATTAGCTGCCACCTGCCTGAGGTGTCTTCTGAGAGGAACTAACCTCTTTGTGGTGCTAGAGCAAGGTCACTGGATTAAAAAAAGAACAGGTAACCATCTTATTCCTTGTCTGAAAAGTTCTGTTTTAAAATTAACAAATGCAAAATGTTCAAGGTAATGTATATGGCTGTTTAAAGGAAGTTTTCATTTCTCTTCTCAGAGACTAGTAAAGTGGACTATGTTCTTTTCCAAGCTGCCACCGCCGTAATGGAGGCAGTCGTCCGGGAGTGGATTCTTTTGGAAAAAGGCAGCATTGAGTCCCTGCGAACATTCCTTTTAACCTATGTCTTACAGAGGCCCAAGTAAGTATATGGTAAAGAGACTGCTTGAATGCTTTGCTGAGCTTCTGTGTCTGACCTTTGAGAGCTTGCTTGAGTTTTTTAATTGTTGGTATTTGTGGTCAAGTAGTATGTAAGGCTTATATTTTAAAGAATACCCATGTGATCATAGTTTTGATACTGAGCTTTGTTTTTTTAAAAGGATTGTACTGGATGTTAGAGGAGTTTTTTTGTGGTTGTAGAGTTCTGAATAATTTGATTATAAATAAAAATTAATCTTAGTTATTTCTTTTTATCATGTTTTAAGTTTCGAATATGGTATTATAAATAGGTATTGCACTACTGCAGAGAAGAGGGAAATTGAAGAATCATTACCAAAGCTAGTGTCACATATGTATATAAAAATATTATTTAGGAAATATTCTTTAAGAAAGCATCAGATTGTTTAAATTTCCTTTGAAAAAGGGATCAGGCTTAAAAAAGGTGAAAGTGAATTTTCTTTTTACATCATGCACGTATGTAAGGTTTAAACATTTTACAAGACTGTACATTTGCTGCTTACATTTTTTAAAAAGAAAGATATAAGGAAAGTTATTATCTAACAATTTTGGGGGAGGAATTGATTCGCTACTTATTTTTTTTTTTGAGTCTCCCAAACACTATTCTTTTAAAAATAAGCCAGTGTATATTGGTGCTTGCTATTTGTACAGTTGAATATTTCAAATACTTAATTCCAGATTTCAGTGAAGAAAAAGATCACTATGTAATCAGAAACATGTATACTTATAAATGGTATTAATGGTTTTTTTGTGTTATATATAAAAAAGTTTAAATCTTATTTAGAACATACTGTCATGCATTTGTTTCTACAAGCTGTCCAGCAGTCTTGGAACTTTTATTATTTAACAATAATTGCTGACTTAAATTTAGCATTAGTTGCTGATACTTTACGTATAGAAAATTTGTGAGAGAAAAAAGACCAAGTTTGCTTAGGTTTTAGCATGCTAGATTCAGCACATGAGATACTCTATAGATTAATGTGTATATGTGTCTGAGGAGGTTACAGCTTACTTTTCTGGTTTTAATAGAATCGCAGATGTTTGCTCCTGGTTTTAAAATTTTTCTCCTTTATACTGGATTGATTGATTTTTTATTTCTTTTTCTCTCTCCCTCCCTCCCGCTTTCTCTCTCTCCCTCCCTTCTTGCCTCCCTCCATCTCTCCTTTAATTTTTGGTTTTTTGAGACAGGATCTCACTTTATAGTTCAGGCTGGCCTTGGACTCAAGTATATAGTCCAGGCCAGCCTTGAACTTGTGGTACTCCTCCTGCCTCAGCCTTCCAAGTGCTAGGATGACAGATGTGTGCCATTATGCCTAGAAATTCATTAATTTTTGTTTGTTTGGTGAGACTTTTTGGATATTGTAGTAGCTTCCCCTTTTGTTGCTTCCATTTGGCTATATTTGCAAACTGCTTTTTCTATCCCTCTGTAACATATAAATATAAGAAAGGAGAAGTTTTGAAAATATCAACAAGTATTTGTTGAAGTATATATGGGTTTATTTTTGCACACTATTATTTCCATGCTTCACAATTGCTATTAGACTCAACATGGAAGAGATACATATTTGGTTGAATTTTAATAAAAATGACGTTCTGAATCATTTCATTATGCTAGCAAAAATATTTTATTTATTTATTTTTTTGTGGTACTGGAGATCAATTTCATGACTTTGTGTTTGCCAGGCAGGCTCTTATGCTTCTGAGCTAAATCTCCAGCCCTCAAAAATACTTTAGAATCAATTTTGAGTGTATTTATAGTTGAATGGAGGCTGAGAGAGAACTTTATGTAATAGAAGAAACCTCGAGGTGCTTGTATTTATAATATTTTACATATAGGAAGAATTATATGTAGGGAAAATTTTTTTTGATGGCACTAGGAACTGAACCCTTGGCCTTGGCCTTGAGCTGCATCCACAGTCCTTTTTTATTTTTTGAGACATGGTTTTACCAAGTTGCTAAGTTCCCCAGTCTAGGCTTGTGATTCTCTTACCTCAACTTCCCAAGTGCTGAGATTAGATTACATGGTGTGTACCACCCTTCCTGGCTTGTAAGAAGATAAAGAAGAAGATAAAGGAACTTTGCTCTATAGGCTTGTTTTATCTGGTGTGCAGTCTGTTGATGGGTAATTGACCTAAATTGGGAAGCAGACATAGAATCTGACCTTCTGGTTTTTCACCACTGCATGTAGTTAGGGTCAGGATCACAAGAGATGATTCTGGGAGTTCTGGTTCCACAGGCATCACCATGGTTCAGCCTGTTCCAAGAAATAAGGATCAGGGAGTATCTGGGCCCTGGACAGTCCCTTCCTGGAGCTGCCTGTGCATCATTTTTTGCAATCTGAGAATCCCAGAACTCTGCCATTCATGATAGATGCAAGTATGTGACAGATTCTTACCATGTTTTTGTGTATGTTTTCTTCTATTTTTAAATGATTTTGATTAGTTCAGAGATTATTTTAGAGTTAATTTTAGGGTTCACTATTGAAATAGTATCCTTATGCATTTTTTGTAAATTTTATTTTGAAAAATTTTTCAACTCTTTTTTTTTTTTTTTTTTTTTTGGTACCGGGGATTGGACTCATAATCACATGCTTGCAAGGCAGGCACTTATGCCACTGAGCTAAATCCGTGGCCCAGATTTTTCAACTTTGAGCAAAGTTAAAAGAATATATGCTGGGGATTTAGCTTAGCGGCTTAAGTGCCTGCTTGGCAAATGCAAGATTGTGAGTTTGATCCCCTGCACCAAAAAGAACAAGAAAAAACAAAAAAGAATAGTATAGTGAATATGCAAATGTCCTTTTCCTAATAAAGGTTCAGTTAACACTGTGTTGTATTTGATTTCTCTCTTGTGTTACATGCATGTTTCCAGAGCATATCAGACATACTGATGCTTTCTTTCTTTTTCTTTTTTCTTTCTTTTTTTTTTTTTTTTTGAGATAGAGTCTCACTATGTAGTTCAGGCTGGCCTCAAACTCACAGTGATCCTCCTGTATCACCCTTCTATGTGCTGGGATCACAGGTGCACATCACCGCACCTACCTGCTTCATTCTTAAATATTTGAGTATGTCTCGCCTTCAAAGTGTAATCTCATTACTGCTGACATAATTGGTGTATAATATAAGAGAATTCTGATTCCATTATCTGAATTGTCCAATTTTGTGCATAATATTATTTATATCCTTTGCCTCTTATTATTTTTAATATTGCTATCTTGCTCCATATTTATAAATATTTGCTTTATATATTTAGATATAAAAATTTATTTTTGTTTTAGTATTGAGGATCTGAATCTCTGGCCTCTTGTATGCTAGATAAATACTGCACCACTGTGCAGTCCTAAGTTTTTCAAAGACAGGGTCTTACTTATTTGCAGAAGCCTTGTGCAATAACTCAAATGTTGGCTATTATTTATTTTGTAATAACTTCTAATCTTACCTATAGAGATATTTAAGATTAACTTTATGGACATGTCTAGTAAGAGCCTTCAGCTTTCTCTATGTTTTCTAGAAGTATTCAGTTTATATTTTTTCCTTTGAAAAGTACAGATTTTTTTTTAGTCAACTAACATTGTTGTGCTTTAAGCAAAATCCATTTTCTTAATAAATGAAGGGTGAATGGTTCCAGTCTGTGTTTTAAAAAATATTTTCACTTTGTTCTTGACATGGGGAGATACATTTGTGCATTTTTATGTCTTATGTGGCAGGTGATGTGTTTCACATATACATATATACTCATATATAACATTATGTATATGTTTTACATGCATATGTGCTTAAGAGTAGGCAGTTGATCTGGGAGATTGAGTTAAACAGTACTAAGTAAGTGTGTTTTGTCATGTGTGAGTGACTTGGGAACCTTTGTTAATAACTTTGTGGAGAAAGTGACATCATAGGCTTGGCAGAGGGAACAAAAGTTGGCATGAAGGAGCATGGAGTCTGGAGCTGAGTGAAGATGCTGAGCATGCTGTGGTGTTGAGTGTACATGGGGGAGCGAGGTCAGAGGAGGGAGCACACTCTTGGCCACAGAGGTCTTTTGAAGACAGTAGACATGCTGTATAATGTAGGCCCAAACTGTCTATTCTAAAAGAAAATACAGGCTCTCTTACTAATTATGGTGGACAGTAGTCAAGGGTGGGTCTTGTTGCGTATAAGTCACAGGAAGTAGCGCGACTTTATTCCAGGTAACTTGTTTTATTGTATCTTTGTGGCATTCAGAAGGCTGTATTATAAAATTCATGTTTTCTGAGGTTTCCCTTTAAGAAAATGTTTTAAGAAGGCATTTAAGTCTCTGTGTCTTTGTGGTCTAATGGGCTTGGTAGAATCCTCCAATTTGGAATAAGTGCTTCTATTATCACACAGAGGAACAGAGCCTAAACAGAAAAATTGTTAAAAGTTTGCCTTACAATTTGTATGTTTCTGTTGTATTGTACCTTGGATAGCTATCATTTTGCCCTGTGAGATTTAAAGTAAGAGTAGTGGGAGTTATATACAGATGGATATTAGGTCAGAATTTATCTTAGTGATCCTCCTATCAATATTTAACATCTACTTAACATTGCTTTAAATGCTTAGTGTGTACTGGGCATACATAGCCACAGGAACATGAACTCTGTAACTTTGCTAGTTTTATATCCATTTTACAGATGAGAAAATTGAGACTTTTAAGTGCTATCTCGCTCAGGGTCACCTAGGTTTAAACCCAGGTCTTCTGACTTTGGAGTCTGTACCTAGCCAGTACATAATACCATACTCAGCAATATTATTAGCTCTGGGCTTAATGAAAAATTTGGGAATATTTTTTTTTGCATTAGATTTAGGTAAGCATTTTCACAACGATTTTTATGTTTTACAGCCTCCAAAAGTATGTTCGGGAACAGATTCTATTAGCAGTAGCTGTAATTGTAAAACGAGGATCATTAGATAAATCAATTGACTGCAAAAGCATTTTTCATGAAGTCAGCCAGTTGATAAGTAGTGGCAATCCCACTGTGGTAAGTACGCTTCTATTTATAAGTACTTGAAATATAGTATGGATAGTTATATGAAAGAAAAGGTATACACACTAATAAAGCAATTTTTATTTGTTTGAATTTTTTAGTTTTTTTTAGATTTAGTATATTTTTCTTTTTCTTTTATTCTGTTTTTCCATGTTGCATTAGTGTTCGTAATCATTATTTTAATTGGTTATAAAATAGAAGGCAAATGCCATAATATTCCTAATCTATGAACATTCCCCCATTTTCATTGAACATTAAACAACTACTAGTGATTATAGTAATATCTGAATTAAATTTGAAATGATATCAGACATAGCAAAACTTTTTTATTTGGTTAATTTTTGTTTGTTTGTTTGGTCTGTTTTATTTGAGACAAGGTCTCACTTTGTAGTTCAGGCTGGCCTTGAATTGACTGTCTCTCTGGCTGAGATTACAGGAGACAGGCATGTGCCACCATTCCTGGCCCCACAAAACTGTTAGAAGTTGCTATGCTAATAGGTCTCATATATCGTGACTTCCAGGTGTCACTGTCAGGTAAACAAATGTAAAACCATTGTTCTTGGCTGAATTACTCTGGGGAGCATGGTTTTCCTCCATTGTTTGCCATCTGTTAGTGAACTAGAGTTGATCCCAGGGAGTGGATGTGGAGTTGTAATCACTCTGTCAGAAGCATGAGTGACAGGGGTTGGTGGGAATGATCAGCTGTGGTCCCTGGACTGAACTATTTACTTTTATCAGCTAAATGATACTTAACTCATTTAGAAATGGATTGGGATGCCTGGCCATTCTGATTGCCAGGTATTAAATCTTTGATTATTTTGGGTAATTTTTTTGTATATGAAGTTATGTGTGTTATTACTATTCTTTTTTCTTTCTTTCTTTTCTTTTCTTTTTTTTTTGGTGCCAGGGGTTGAACTCATGACCAGGCTTGCCAGGCAGGTGTTTATGCCACTGAGCTAAATCCCTGGCTCTTTTATCTTATTATTCTTTACAAATTTCTTTACACTGTCACTGGTCCCTCAGTAAAAGACATCTTTATTTTATTATTTCTTTTTTTCTTTAGTTACTTTGCTGAACTAGGTGGTCAAACCCAGGTTCCGTGTGCATGATTTTGACAGGTTAAAATACAATGGCACATTTTAGGAGGGCTGTGTACCTTGTCCCTATTAGATTCCAGTCTCTCCTCCTCCCTCTAACCTTCATTAATAGTTGGCTCTCCACTCACCTTAATGATTTAGTGTGCCCCAGCCCCACCCTCAGAGTGATACCCCTGGAGTCTGGAGTGAAGGAACAAGCTCATCAGAACTTTGACTGTGTGGAGGTCGTATTTTATGCCATTGTTGTGGCAAATTTCAAGTTGTGCTGGCCGTAAGTGTTGTGTATCTGCTCTTCATTTATGCAATTGCTATACCAACTATGTGAGGCTTTTTAACACTAGAAATGCCAAGTGTGACTAAGAAACTAAACTTGTAAATTACTTTAAATTTATAACTACATGTAGCTAGTAGCAGCCATAATAGATAGCATAATTGTAGACTTTACTAACCCAAAGGTCTAATTTTATGCCCTTTTTACTTAATCTTTTTTTTTTTTTTTTTGGTCTTTTTCATTTTTATCGGTACCAGGGATCGAACTCACGACTGCCTGCTTGCAAGGCAGGCGCTTATGCCGCTGAGCTAAATCCCCAGCCCCTTTTTACTTAATCTTTAGTATTTCATTGTGGTTTTGTTTTATAGAGTGAGAAAATTTCTTGAAAATGATCCCTTAATAAACCAATTTTCTCTCTCTGTCTTTCTCTCTGTGTCTATCTTTCTTTCTTTTTTCTGTTTTGAAGTATGGGACTGAATCCAGGGCTTTTGCAGTGAGCTACATTCCTGGCACTTTTTTAGCGTTTATTTTGAAATAGGCTCTTACTAAGTTGCCCACACTGGGCTTGATTTTTGGGATCCTCCTGTCTACAATGCTGGGATTTTGGGTGTGTGTCACCATGCTTATCTGGGAGCTGCTTTTTACTTACATAATTCTGTCAGGCTGAAGATATCTCTAGCAGTCAAGGCCACCATTTCTGGTGGAGCTTTGCTCTTGATGCTGTTACTTCAGGCATGGCTGCATTGTCATTTGTGTGGATTTTGGTAGTATCTGTTTATAAACTAGTAACTCTGTGCGTCTGATGGTGGTTACCATGGAGAACTGAGGGAAAAAGTAGATACAGTTAGCAGGGAAATGGTTTGGAAGCGAGTAAGAGTCTTTGGAAATCCTGTCGTAGCCCTAAATTATTTATGCTTCACGTTTCTCATATAACAAATCATGTGATATTTAACCTGCTGTATCCGATTCATTTGATTTAGGGTTGTGGTCTCAAGATTCATTAATATCCCTGCAGATCATTATGCCTCGTTATGTACTCCATTGTTTATATACACTACAGGTTCTTTATCTGGTCATGGGCATGTAGGCTGCTTACAAGTCTCAGGTATTATAAAGTTGTCCTGCTAATAACAGGTATGCATGTACCACTGGAATGTCATATCTTCTGTATTTTAGGTTTTGCTTGAGGATAGCTTGCTTTATTTTGACAGTCTTGCAGTAAAAATGTCAGGTTCTTTGGGATGGATAGGATTTAAATTTGAAGAACTTTGTCAGTGGTGGTGGTATCTCTCGGACCCACACCCTTCCTGTGTTAGTTTGGTGGTATTTCCAGCTAGGTGTGGGAGACTCCCTTGAATGCAGAACAATTGCTGCTACATTAGTTAGTGGAGTCTTATTTCCATACACTGTTATAAAGCTAGGATTTTGACATTGATGTCTGTGGCCTGCCTCATCACCCTCTCGGGTTCTACAAGCAAAAGATAAAAGAGTCCCTTACTCTCAGGATTGTGCACACGCTTAGGAATTGAGTCCTCTGCTTCCTTTCTCTTTTGGTAATTTGATCCAGAACAAAAGATCACTGTAACCTGGCAGTTGAATTTTTTTTTGAGCCACTGAAGTAACTTATATTCTGAGAATGATTGGAACAGATGTAGTTTAGTTTTTTCTGTGTTTGTGGTACATATGCTTTGAAAAAAGGATATGTTCTTACAAAATACTCCAAAATAAATATTTTTAAAGTCAAATTTCTAATAACAAAGCCAAGAACTTTGCTAATAGTAGGAAAGCAATACTAGGGGGAGTAGAATTTGACTTCAATGTTGTAGGATGACTTAATTTGGTAATTACATTGAAAACATTAAACTTTTTAAAGTCTCTTTTTATGTGACCAAATGGAATGTACATGCTGTGGCTGTCCCTGTTTGTCTTTGCCCAGTGGCTTGAAATTAGCTTACTCAGGAGGTCTACAAAAATGAGATTATAGACTAGTAAAACATGTTAATATAGTTCTTCTTGGACTGTTAAGAATTCATGGGAGTGGTTTAAGAATTTAAAATTTTCTTAATTTCAGAGAGGTGAGTAGAAATGGAAGAAGGGTTTAGAAAGTAAAAAAAATTAAAGTGATCAGAACATTAATCAAGTGTTAGCCAGAAAATGTTTAATAATAGTAATTTTCAAGAGATATTTGAAAAGAAGTGATGTCTATGGAAAATCATTGATGACTTGTCTTTTGGTTAGTAGACTGGAGTATAATCTCACTCCTCCCTCCGGTTTGAAGAATCTCTCCATTTTCCTGTGTTAGTCTCTTAAATGTGTTTAAAAAGGCTTAAGTGCAGTATAATATAAGAAAGGCTGATTTTGAATTCGTACTTGATGTTTACACTATAGTTCTTCCATATTACTTACCCAACTCAAACAAATTATTAAAAGGCTGTCCATTCAGCAGGTGTTTATGTTTATCTTCTTTCCTTCTTTGTAGAATCTTGGGGAAGTGAACTATAGTAAATCATCTCTTTCTATCAAGCTGCTTTAAGTATTTAAGCAGAAGAAAGTATACATGAGTAAAAACAAATTGTGTATGTAAAAAAAAAAACTGATATATTTGCTTTCCTTTAAATGCTTTAAGAAGTATTTTATAGTTAAGATTCTCTCAGTTTTTTGGAAAGACTGCATTTAATTTATGTAACCTTTTCTAAGGAGCTATTTCTTAAGCATAGTTTTCCATGTGTTGTGGTATATTTTAAGTGTAAGTATACTTGTAAGATTATTAAATAATGTATTTCTCATGCCTGTCTTTATAGTTAGACTGTTTTTCTTCCCTGATTATGAAGGTTGCTGTGGTTAGTTCATCTCAGTTAGCAAGTGTCAGAACTACTCTGAGTACCAGTTTGAGAGAGATACGGAAACTGTCCTTCCTGGGAAAGTGGCTACCTTTTTATTTTAGCCTAGCATTTAAACTAAAATCTTAACGTTTTTCATTTTTGAAAGTAGCAAGACTACATTAAATCACTATTATAGGTGTTTTATTTAGCATTTAAGCTCCTTTCCTCCTCTTTGCCATGTTAGAAAGAAGTGGGTGAGAAATTCTCATGTCTGCAGTGGCAGGCCTGTGCCTGGATGTGATAGCCAAGTTAATCTCTCTTATCACAGAGTCTCATTGATGTTTGCTTAGAAGAGCAGCTGGAAGTCTGCTTTATGTATGGCAACCTTTCATAAAGTTTATTCTTGGTAATAAGGCTCTAGGGGCAAGAGCCAGGCTATTATAAGAGACAATCCTCTCTCTGAACAACAGCATTTTATTTTGTCAGCTGGAGTTAGTGTTTGAGTGTCTTGTGCTTGTGTGACAGTACCCTGGTGAGTAAGGCAAGCTATCTCTGAAGGGCCTTTTTCACTGGTGTGAAATTAATGGCTGGATAGAAATGACAGTTCCGCCTTGAGGCTTTTAATGTGATGAGTTAAATTGTTAGCCATTGTTAACAGTTAATTTGGGAATTTTTAGTACTTCAATAAAAATGACATACTATGAAGACTCTTTGAAATCTGGAGATTTATTGCATTGTCTTCTGTTTGTTTTACTTAAAATTTCTTTTTGAAATTTATAAACAACTAAAATAAAGAATATGTCATGTATAGTACTTATTTTCCACCCTTCACTTGTGTAAGTATAGTGTCAGGCCCAGGAGTTAACATCAGTACACTAATTCAGGTAATAATTTATCTTATAATTTGACAGAACACAGATTACAATCAAGAGATAGAACCCCAAAATAGCCAAAACAAATGGTAGTTATTTATCATCATCATGATAAAAATGTTGTTTCTGCTTCATCTTATTATAACCCACTGTATTCACATAGTGCTTTCGCATGTAATATTTAAGGAACCTGAGGGGAGGCATGTGAATTAGACAAGACATAGGGTAACAGCCCATTTTATAGATGAGATAGCAGAGGCCATGATAAATAAAGTGTTTTGTCTGTGATTCTTTGAAAATCTCAGCTTGTTAGAACCCAGGTTTTTCTGGCTCTTTGGTCAAAGGAATAGAATTGTTATACTGAGTTCCTAAAGAGCCCTGCAGAGTGTTTTTACGTATATTTTTGGTGTAGAACTGTTTATTGGTGGTAGACAAATTGCCACCAGCAGCAGTGAATAGTAAACAAGCATGAAGGTAAGTGAGAAAAACTGAAGCAGACATGAATCAAAAAGCATTGCAGACTGGTGCTACTTTGTCAAAGGGTATAAGGTCCTATATTCTTTAGTAGCTCCAAGTAGTTGCTTTATCCTAACTTCATATAATGATTGCTGTAGAAATAATTATTTTACAAAGGTTTACAGGAAGATTTATTAAGTTTTTATTAACTTGATTTCTTTGATCTTGGATAAATCAAGCATTGTTGTGTTAACGTCTTATGACTTAAGATTTTTGACTAATGGTATTTTTTTGTATTGATCAATTCCTGATAATTTCAGGATCACAACCTCATACTGCTTTTTGATCAGTCAATTAACGTTCACTGAATTGTCCACATTAGCTTCTGCTTCTGATCCTCCTACAAATGAGAGTCATTGTCTGTAACACAGAATAATTTCTAGCCCTGCCTCTGACATAGGGCAGAGGCAGCACTTGAAAATACAGTACTGGTTATTAGAAGGGAAAAGTAAAAGGCAGTGCAGTTGGGGTGTCCAGAGTCCTTAAAATCTGAAGCCAGTAGAGAGGGACCTTCTTCTGTAAGGGTCTTCTGCAAGACCTAAAGCGTATAATCTGTGCTAGGCAGATTTGATCCCCCTTTCCTTTTTTTCCTGTTCTGGGAAGAAGCTGTCCCTTTACTCTCCTGGGAGCTCATTTTTGGCTTGCTTCCCTGGCTATCTTCATTACAATGTAATGTGAGAGCAACTTCATTGTAAGGGGATTTAATGGACAAATACTGCAAGTGAGTAAATGTGTTTGGAAATTAGTCTTGGACATTTTGTGATATGTTAATTTTCTTGTGAATAGAGAAAAATACTTTGTTGATATAGATGGTTTTCTCTCCTAATGTACAATCAGTACTTAATTATTCATCTTTTTCCAATGAGTTAGTCTGTATTCATTCGTCACCTCTGAGTTGATATAACAGAATTAGTGTTTACCATGTTAATTTTGTACCCTTACAGAATATTTCACTGAATTTTTATTCTTTGAAAGCTAGTAATTTTAGGTGTGGTTAAAAACAGTCTGATTTCTATGTACTGCATAGCAACTTATATTTAGTAATTCTTTTAAGTGGCATATTTGAAAGAAAACATTGTTTTTAAAGATTTATTTTTATTTCATAAGCATAAAATAGAAAAAATGAAATATAAAAATATGTGGATTGATAATGGTGTCTGAATGCATATACATTAAGAAATTGGACAGCTATAGATAACTGGTATAGGATTAACACTTAGATAATAGAATTGTTGGCAATTTTATTTTCCTTGTGCTTTTCTGTGACTTTGCATTTTTGTAAGACAAATATATACTGTATTATTTTTGTAGGATGAAAAAAATTAAGAACAAATAATTATGTTCAGGGATTTGAATCTATCATGAGATGTATTTTGTTCCTGGTTCTCATGTATTAAAATATACTTGCTTTTAGGGGTGAAAATAAGCTCTTCCAGGGATATATATGTTTTACCACAACTTAACAGCAGATCTAAACTCTGGGGGCCCTTTTCTGAAGTTTATAGCTAAAGAAGACTTAAAATCTTTTCTTTTTTCTGAGCCACAGTAACCTCAGCAAGGCTCTTGGTTGTTTTTGGCTTGTTCCTTTTTCTACTCATATTTTTCACATCTTGAGGATAAATGCATGGATATAATCTTAGGAAATATTCATTTCACATAAAAGTAAATATTACAGTTAGTACATGTTGCAGTAATTGATTAGACATGTTTTGAATATAGTAATCTGAAAATATACCGTTTTGTGCACATTGTAAATTACCCATGGGAAAGTATTATAGATCTTTTATTTGTAAGGATCTTAATATTTTGTATTTAATAATTACTCCTGATTTTATAGCTTGAATATTTTCTTCTTTTTTTCTTTTAATGATTTTTTATTTGTTTTTGTTTTTTGGTACTGAGATTGAACTCATGACCTTGTGCTTGCCAGGCAGGCGCTTGTACCACTGAGCTATATCCCCAGCCCCAAATGTTTTCAAATAATTGAATTCTTTTTTTCAATATATCGGCTAATCTGAGATTCTGAAATTAAGTGTTTCAGGAGGACAAATTTTCTCAAATATTTAGACATCTATTAATGTATCCTGTTCACTGAAATTTTGTTTTGAAGGGATAGGTGAAAACCTAAGACTAAGATTGAAATAGGATACTAAAATTTGTCTTCAGGATTATAGGATCTTGGATTTTATTTGTTAGACTTTTTGAGATTCTGAATTAATTAATTTGACTTGAGACTAGTTTATTATTTTACTTAATGTCTACTTTTCCTATCAAAGCCTATTATTTTAAAATCTGTACACCATTGATCAGATATTAATCTATGAAGTATTGATTCCTAGTACTTTAGTCCTAGTCACTATATCAAAAGAAAGCCTTTTTTTTTTTTGTTTTTTTGGTTTTTTTTGTACCAGGATTGAACTCAGGAACTTGTGCTTGCCAGGCAGGCACTTGTGCTGCTGAGCTAAATCTCCAACCCCTAGAAAGCCATTTTTAAAAATTAAGTTTTGTTAACTAAAAAAAAAATTTTTAACTTGATAAGTTTCTAAAATTCCTTTTAACTGAAAAGTGTTTTATGTGATAACCTGCCCTTTAGGAGAAGATTTTTGCCTGATTTCTCAGGTCCAGTTTCTTCCTAGACCATGCAAATAGAATTAAACAGGCATACTTTTCTTGAAGATTTGTGCAGCATGGGACTTCTTTATATTAAAATGAATGTTTACTTTGTATTAAAAATATAAAACCTGAAGGGTTAGGGATGTAGCTCACGTGTACAAGGCCCTGTGCTTGGTCTCCAGCACCACCAAAACAAGCACAACCAAATTATGTATTTAAGCAAAAAGTAGGAGCGTTTAGCAAACTTTTTTGATCAAAGAAGTCCACTGATTGATGCTACCAGATTCCTGGTGGTGTGGAAAAGTTGAATCTGTTTTAATGTATAGTGGTGTGTGTGTGTGTGTGTGTGTGTGTGCACGCGTGTGTGTGTGTGTACGTACCATTAAACATTGGACTGAGTATGGAATTCCATGGTAATTGCAAGTTTTTCAGAGTTATGCATGAGTTATACAGTCATGTTTATTTTGAAATTAAGAGGTGAATATGCATTTTTAATATAGTTTAAAAGGAAATTTTCAGATAAAAGTAGATAAATAGTATATTGGTCACCCATCTAAACATTACTTAGCCTGCAACAAATACCAAGTCATACCAATATTTAGGAATTTAATTTTATGTCTGTTTGCTAAAATTTGGCAAGATAAGCATCTGGAAGGTCAAGGTACTAACATCAGAAGCATTTCTGAACAAAGATGTCGCAGTTGGTGGGTGGGTTGGACTGTGTTCAGCTGTTGCATAAGCTTGCAGAAATAGTATCATCTTGACTTTAATCTTCGGTTGTTCAGAGGTAGTGTGCAGATTTCTGTTTAACCCCTGGAAGTGTGCCAAAATAATTTGTATCCTTATCTCCATCCTTGGTACCTTGACTCTAAATAGTCCATAAATAAGATTAATGAGTTGATATTCTAAGCCTACTGAATAGAACCAGTGACATGGAAATCTTCATTTATTAGTTTTTAAACTTTGTGGGTACTATCTAGTTACTTTGGAGACTATAAATTGTTTCACATTCATCTGGGAATGAATTTTATAAACATTAGAACATAGGGGTCCTACAGAACTAGGTTCACATCTCCGCTGGCCTTAGATAATTACATAAACTTTCCAAGTCTCGTTTTTTTCAAATGTAAGGTAGAAGTATGGGTTGTTTTACAAATTAAATAAATTAATGTACTCAACACTGACTTTTTAAAAACATGTCACTTAATTCTGTGATCAAGTAAGAGGAATGTATTCTGAGTTCCAGTCTTCAGGAGATAGCTGAATTTGAGAAGTACTGTTATTAGCACTTGCCAGACCACTTAGGAAAAAAAAGCTAGCTGGGTGTGGTGGTGCATGCCTCAAATCCTAGCACTTGTGAGGCTGAAGCAGGAGGATCATTGTGAAATTCCAGGCCAGCCTGAGGTACAAATTGAGTTCAAGGCCAGTCTGAACTGCATAGAGAAACCCTGTCTCAAAAAAAAAAGGAAAGCTAATCTTCATTTCTAGCTTTCTGACCGGTAGCTATAATATGTAAAGATATAACAGATAATCTGTAGATAGAAAACTCTCCATTATGTTAGAACATAATGTATTGAAACAAAGCATTGAAAAAATAATGCCTCACAATTATTTCTTATCAAATACAGCAAACACTGGCTTGTTCTATTCTAACTGCATTATTGAGTGAATTCTCAAGTTCAAGTAAGACTAGCAACATTGGACTGAGTATGGAATTCCATGGTAACTGCAAAAGAGTTTTTCAGGTATTGGTACTTTTGTTCTTGTGTTTTAATTATTGGATGAGCTACTTTCAACTAAATCTATTCTTAATGGCTGAGAATTTTTTTATATAGTTGATTAGTAGTTTGTTTTTGAGGATTTGTGTTGTAATTTTATAGGATATAGCAAAGTGGTAGGTTCAGTGAACCTAGTTGACAGTTTAAGATTCGTTATTTAATTCTAGTTTTAAAAAGAGAATATTATGATAAAGAGCTCATAATTTGTTATTTTTCTGTTTAGATGTAACTCAATTGACAGGATTTTGCTGGCCTTAAAAATAGAACTGGCAGAATGCCAAAGAAGGCCTTGTATTAAAATGTTATTGCAGATGGTGTGGGCTCTTTGTCTCTCGTGTATTGTTTGGCTCTGGAGTGCAGTTATGTGAAGGCATTGATTTAAATCCTAGGGCTCAGCTCTATAGCAACTGACTCCTGTGGCTCTGCAGTACTGCCAAAGACTTTCTTCTCCATGAAGTAGCATTTATACCGCAGTAAATAGTGTCACTTGAAAGCATATTGTGATGTAAATTTTGAGTAGAGGGGTCAAAATGGAAAATATTCTTAAGGAAATACTGTCTGCCAGTGAAAATGTGAAGGTTCTTGTTTGTTTGATTTTATGGTTCTAAATGGGAATATATTCTGAATAAATTTTCGGTATAAAAGTATTTGTGATTGATTGATGATAGGAAGAAGACCTTCGTCAGATCTTCATGTTGACGGTTGAAGTTTTGCAGGAATTCAGCAGGCGGGAAAACCTCAGTGCACAGATGTCCTCGGTGTTTCAGCGCTACCTTGCACTTGCCAATCAAGTCTTGAGCTGGAACTTTCTTCCTCCAAATTATATCCTTTTGACAACTGATTAGTTACTTGTGGTAATTTTCACAGATGACTTAATTATGGCTCTAATCGTTTTATTTACATCTACATGTTTTGTAATGTGTGTCGTTGTTGAGGGTTTTCTTTTTTAAAGAAATGGAATTTTATTTTATAATGCCACTGTTCAGTCAACTAGGTAGATTTCAGATTCTACTCGCTGCTTTGTAGATGATAGTTGAATATATGTACACATTTGGGGGTTAATGGGCTATTGTTAACTTAGGAAGAGTAGTTTTCCTTGCATAAGACAAGGAAAAAAAATGGGAAATGCATTTTTATGAAAATAGCCATTTTCTCCTTGGATATATGACGACAGTGGATTTTTTGACTGACTTCGGTGTAGTTTGGAGTGTCTAATCTTCATGGACATTGTTCAAACATAGATAAGTCAGTAAAGTATTTTTTCCTCAATGGCCTTTATAAATATAAAAGGATGAAAATTTCCATTTTAGGAAATTGTTGGTATACAAAATAAATTTAAATGTTTTACAGATATGTGTACCTATTTGCTTTTTTAAAATCTGCTACTAAACTGGAAAAATTTGTATTTTAGAAAATAGTTCTTTAAGGTTTATGATTTATTACACTAGAACACCTGCTTATTGATAGATTTAAGCAGTAATACACAGTACAGTAGCTGCCTTTTTGAGCATACTTAAGTCAGGCCTGGATTGAAGCCTCAGCTCATCTTAGGTAAATTAATGAACCTTTTCAATTGTAATTTTTCCTAATGTAAGAGGAATATATAGGTCATTGCATTAGTTAAATGAGGTGATATGGTGAAAATACGCAGAGTTAGGTACTATTTGTAGAGCTCCTACTAGTGTCCTTGAGTGAAGTTGTTCATCCTAATGCTAGTTGTCATGTTCTTCTTTCCAGATCTAATGCTCTTCTGTATGATATAGAGAGTTTCGTCTGTTCTAGGTATCTTTAATCAGCTCTTCTTGGAGCTCTGGGCAGGTATCTATTTAGGGGTAAAAGACTGATAATAAGGAAATAAGAAATAGATAGGGCCAAGGATTTAACTCAGCAGCATAAGCACCTGCCTGGCAAGCATGAGGTTATGAGTTTGATCCCTGGTACCCCCCCCCCCCCCAAGTGAATCATATTAAGGATTTAGGACAGAACCAAGAACTGCTACATTTGTATATGAAAATTTTAATTGTACTTTGTAAAACTTAAGATTTAAAGAGGTAATTATGAATGTTATTTTCAACTTACTATATTTATATAATAGAAAACCAACTGTGAAAGGTAGTATGGTAAAGTGAGTTTCTGACTCTCATCTTTTGAGTTTTCCGTTGTTCTTTCCCCATGGTGGTAACAGTGAGGTGAAACTTACCATGAGGTTAATCACCTTCTCCTTTTCTCTGTTCTGTTCCATTTTGTTTTGTTTTGTTTGTTTGTTGAGACAGGGTCTTGCTTTGTAGCCCAAGTTGGCCGTGAGCTCACAGCAATCCTCCTGCCTTAGCCTCCTCTTTGAGTATTGCAACATTAATTTTCCTCCCAGTTTAGTTGTTTTTAAAAGATGGTAAAGCAACCTTTATTTAGAAAAGACCATAGTTAGAATTTTAGGGAACACTAACAGGTTCTTGCAATTGTTGAAGAGAGAATAGTTTCAACTCCCTGCTCCAATTTTTTTTTTTTTTTTTTTTTTTTTTTAGTAAAGAAAATAAAAGATGGTGAAAAACCTTACGACAGATTTTAAAAGTATCAGACCATATGGAGCTATCAAAACATTAATTATATATGTTGGAAAAATCAGCCAAAGTTACACCGCATATATTGTAGCCAATTTTTGTGTCTGTTTTAGGGGAAAATGCAGTTGGCAGAGTGACTATTTTGTAAAGGGAAACAGTTCTCTGGGAGTTTGGAAACAAAGTTTATCTAAACGATACAAACATAAAATATTTTATAAAATCTTTAGATAAAGTTTTGGGAAAACCTGTCATCTGAAGATGATAAGCATTACTGCAGAATTGCCAAAGGAAATAATTTGTTGTTTAAAGAAAGTGTATTTTGATCTTGACAGTATTCTACTTAATGGCTGTTGGGTACTTTGTGACCATAGATTGTTGTATAATTCCATTAGTTGACTGGCTGAACTCAGCTAAGTGTTTCTTCTTTTGAATGAATCAGCTATAGATGTAAGAGAAAGAAAGAACTCTTTAAGTGGTGGCACTATTAAATTATGCTACCGCTTTCATGCTAATTAGAAAATCAATGTCAAGGATTCCAATTCTGACTAATTTCTAATTATGGAAATTGTGTAAAGGTTACCATTTAATCTATAGGGGAATAACTGAATGATTAGTTGGCTTCATAATTCATGGAAAGAGATTAATTAAAATTGCACTTAGTTAAAATGAGTTGATGGGTTTTTAAAAATGATTTGTTTTTTAGAGTAAATAAGTAACAAGTAGGCCTTGTAAAATATTTGTATACTCTGGTATCATGTTAAATGATGTATATTAGATTATCAGTACTGTCTCTGTGTGGTGACATACATGTATGATCCCAGCACTCAAGAGGCTGAGGCAGGAGGACCCCCGTGAGTTCAAGGCAAGCATAAACTACCGAGAATAACACTATCTCAAAAAATTTTTTTTCATCAGTATCAAATCCCCTTTCATAATCTTTTATAATCTTTTTGTGTCTTGTTTTTATGTAATTTCAAGTATGAATAACTGGGAACTCTCAACCATTTTAGATTCACCAGTTTTCACATTTTGTCCCATTTTTTTCTCTTCATGAACATACACAAATAGGAATTTACATATGTATGTGTATATTTAAACTCTTTCTTGAAACCATTTGAGTGTAGTAAGCAGATATACCCATTTATCTCTGAATACTTCACTGTAAACTTTGCTAAAATCAAAGTTTTTGAAACTGTGCTACCGTTTTTAATAAAAAAATGTCTTGCAAAGCCATACAGTTTTCATTGTAAGAAATTTGTCATTAAGAAAATATTATCTGGGGCTGGGGATTTAACTCAGCGGCATAAGCGCCTGCCTTGCAAGCAGGCAGTCGTGAGTTCGATCCCCGTACCGATAAAAAGGAAAAAGACCAAAAAAAAAAAGAAAAGAAAATCTTATCTGACCTACGTTCTTTATTCAGATTTTGTCAGTTGACTCAGTATACATTTGCTTTATCTGGTTATTATTATTATTTTTTTTTGGTGGTACTGGGGATCGAATTCATGACTTCACGCTTGCCAGGCAGAGGCGCCTAGACCACTGAGCTAAATTCCAAACCCCTATCTGATTATTTTGTACAAGTGTCATCATATAATATGTGTGGTGTTTGGCTTAGTGTGGTGCTTTCAAGATTTATTCATTTGTGTATTCTAATCTGCTCCTAGGCCTAGCACCTGTCTTCAGACAGTGCTTATTTTATTGCCGTATAATATTCATCCTGTTGCATACCATATTTTTATTTACCATTCATCAGTTAATAGACTATTGAATTGTTCTCCCATTTTGGGTAATAAGAGTATTGCTGCTACCAAGTACATTGAGGGGTGTCTCCCTTGGGAGACGAGGCAGAGATTACTTACGCCCAGGAATTTAAGGTTAGTGAGGTTTATAGCTGAGTGTGATGTTGGGAGGTGAAGCCTGGTTGGAGGAGATGCTGAGGTGCTGAGGATTGAACCCGGATCTTGTGTGTGCAAGGCTAGAGCTGTACCACTGAGCCACATCTGCAGCTCTGCCCAACGTTTTGAAAACTACACGATAATATAGAGTGTTGTTGCTATGAACATTCTGTGTACAAGGTTGTATGGATATATGTTTTCATTTTTCTTGTCTATATATACCTAGCAAACAAACCTAAAAAAAAAAAACAAGTGCAAAATGACAACAATGGCTATATAAGTTTTCAAAACGAGATGATAGGAATTTTTTTTTGTACCGAGGATCAAACTCACAATCTTGTGCTTACCAAGCAAGCGCTTGAGCCACTGAGCTAAATCCTCAGCAATGAAAGGGATTTAACAATGGTTGTTATATTGTATCTTCAAAATAGTTGCTTAGATTACCAGATACAGGAAAATGGAACAAAACATTGGATTTCAAAAGCAAGATAGAAGAAAATCCCCCATAGTTGCCACAATGCACACTGCCATCCTCCAAATAGATGCCCAGACCTCCAGCCTCAGGTCTGAAAAGTTAAACAATACAGGCATCAAGCTATTCGGTTGCTGTCATTTCACCCTGAGTGCTCTGAATCAATCAGGTGCTCACCAGGGTGAGGGGCTGGGAGAGAATATACTCTTCCAGTTTCCCAGCCCGTGCACCACCAGCTGGCTCACGGGAAAGCGTGGCTTGGCTTCTTGCTGAGTCTTTCCGTTCCCTATAAAATTAGGTGAGTTAATTTTAAAATTTTCTTCCAAAGGGCAAACTTTACTTTCTTTGTTTTTGCCTTTTGTTGTTGTTGTGTTTGTTTGTTTTTGGGTAGCAGAGCTTGAACTCATGACCTTGTGCTTATGAGGCAGGCACTGTGCCCCTGAGCTATATTCCTGGCCCAAGTTTATAAATTTGACAGAAGGTCTCTTAGGCATTGTTTTGCAAGCCCCCAAAACATACATGAAGTTGCCTTTGAGCACACAGATGAAGAACTTCTCTGGCATGGTTTTGCTGAGTTTCTCATTTTTCTCTTAACCATTTACCAGTGTCCAGAAGTTATCTTTATGGTGTGTCCTTATAGTTGTATTTCTTCTTCTTCTTTTTTTTTTTTTTTTTTTTTTTTTGGTCTTTTTCGTTTTTATCGGTACCAGGGATCGAACTCACGACTGCCTGCTTGCAAGGAAGGCGCTTATGCCGCTGAGCTAAATCCCCAGCCCCTGTAGTTGCATTTCTAATAGTGACCCTATGTTAGCCACCTATGGCAAAGAATATTCTTTGTAAAGACTGTGGCCCACTGTGCCTCCCACTGCAATGTTAGCACATCTTCCCATTACTGCT